AATGTTTATTCAGATTTAAAACATATAAATACATAACTTAAGTTAATAAAAAATAAATACAATACTCATTTACATTATAAAAATAATTTTATTATATTAAAAATATATACAAAATTTAAAAAAATATTCTGTACCATAACATGGATAAATACCTAGTAATTATAATGAACTAATACAAATAACTGGTGATAAAAATGAGCTGAGATATAAGTTATACTAATATATTTATGTTATCAAAATCTTATTTGCCTACTCATGCTGACTATTTACATAAGATATTTTTAAAACTTTAAACAACTCAAACTTTTAATTGAAAAAAATTAAAATAAATTATGTATTCTTTTATATTTGATAGATTCATTAAATCATAAATAGTATTATAGTATTATTTTTTCTTATTAAAATAACAAATAAATTTAAAAATAATATAACCGGCGTAACCCGAAAAATCTCCTAGTATATATAAAATTAAAGCGAGCTCTCTCTAACAATTTACCACATCAGCAGTTGTAAAAATGCCACCTGTCCATAATATTAAAACAAAACACGCCAAAAAATACGCTTAATTGGACCTTAATTTCCCTTTTCTGTCGCGTCTCTTCTTCATCAAGGGATTAATTCTTTACAACGGCCAGCCTCTTTATCAACTGAAACGTTTCATCAAACCAACTGGACGACTTCTGATTTTCTTCATCAACCGAAAAGCTTCACCAAATCACTATAGCGTTTTACGGACACTCATCCCCTTACTAATCAACGCAGAGACGATTCAATTCAATTCAATTCAATTATGATAGCGTTTCCTCTCAATCTTTCTCTTTCAAACTCAGAGTAAGTGAATTCAAAATTTGCTAACATTGACACCATTTTAGTGGTCACATTGACTTATTTTGCGAGTTTTCTGTGTTTGGGACTTGAACTTCTGGGAAGCTCGTCTTTGTTTCCAGATGGAAGGGTTCGTTTTACCACCATTCCAGTCGAGCTGAAAGATAAAGATATCGTTTGGTTAGTTTCATCAATCACTTCTTCATATCTTAGGCTCTATTAAGTATTACTGTTAGAAATTTCGCTTTGTTTTCCATTGTTAAGAAGAATAAGTAAACTTTGTTGGAGGTTGTTAGGGAGACAGCGAGGATGATGTTTACAACGGGATTAAGGTTGAGGAGAGGCCTCAGATTCTTCCTTGTCAAATGCTTCTTGCTAATGAGGAATTCCACAAGGAATCTGGAGGATATGAAAGTGAGTCTTAGGAAGATGCGCTTGAAGAGAAAAGGGAACATCCAACAAGACCAAGATATACAATAAAAATCTTGTCCATTAGTATAACTACGACACATATAATACAGCAAAGGGCCAAATCCCCTTACAAACGGTACAACATCTCTGCTGAAACTAAAAATTAAAGTTCCGAGTTTAGTTCACTGTCTCAATTCTCAACGAACTACTTATCTTGTGTTTCTTTCCCTTTCTTTTAAAGAATGAATATTGTATGATTTGATGATTGTGCATGTCTTCTAGAGTGACATTTTTGTTCATGATCGTACTAAGAAGTAAGGAGAAAGATTATGATTCCTTGAGGTACTCATTTTTTTTAACTACATTTGTTTGATAATCGTATTTACTAATAATATTAATGATTGTAATGATGTTGTCTACAGTCTAAGGCTTCTGTTTGATGCAGAACACTCCTACACACTCACAAAATTATAGGAAGCAGCCATATCTCCGTTAAACCAGTTTAACCTACCATTTTGTGTTGTTACTATCAAGTCATATTTAATGATTTGAGTAGGTTATGCTTTTTTAAATTCTATCTATATATATGCATCTCAGAGGATGAGGAGGTTCTTACATCGAGATTTTTACGGTTTGTAAAGGGGGAGTAAGAGGAGCTCCATCATCAAATTCGTTAGATTTTATGTAATCCCAACCAGTATCAGAAACTGTAAAATTTGTTTTGGATGAAAATTGACTTATGAATGAAATAATTAAGTTAATACCAGAAACCTCAGATTTCTGGATTTGGAAACATAATAAGTGTGGAGACTTTTGGGTGAGATCAGCTTACTGGCTGGCTTCCACGATTTCAACTTCTGACTTTGCCCGTGAAGCAGCAGTTCCTCCTTCTTTAAATGCTCTCAAAGAGAAAGCTTGGTGATCCAGACAGCACCTAAGATCAAAACCTTTGTGTGGAGAGTTCTAAGTGATGCTATTCCGGTTGCAAAGAGCATGGCTACTCATTTGAGATGTCAAGCTTGTGGTGAGGAAGGAGAATCAGCAGACCATGTGCTTTTCACTTGTCCGACTGCCTGTCAGGTATGGGCTTTATCTTATTTTCCTATTCCCCAAGGCGGATTCCATGATGAATCGGTGTACGCTAATATTCGTTATGTTATGATGATGGGAATGAATATCAAAGTTCCTCTTGAAGTTAGAAGATATTCCTCTGTCTGTCATGGTACTTACGGAAGAATAGGAATAAGGTCATCTTTGATGATTCAATACTCAAGAGAACTCTCCACACAAAGAGGAGTCAAATCTTTGGTTTTATGTTCAAGGAATTGAAAAGAATATCTGTTAATATTAGTAGCCCTGTTGATAAGCATCAAAAGAAGTAGTTGCCGCCAAGACCTAAGTTTGAAATGTAACATTGGTGTTTCTTGTGTTGGAAAGAAATAACTTTTATGGGTAATGGAGAAGGTGTTTAAGAATTTGAGAGACAAAGGAACAATTTTAAGAAAAAAAGAAAGTTTTTAAAACTTAGGAACTTATTAACTTTTCTTATTATTTTCTCTTAACTTCTTGATTACAAATGAGAGAGGAGAGAGCTATTTATAGCCTCTAATGTATAAAATATCTAAAATATTTTAATCCTAAATCTAGATTATTCTACCTTAATATTTAGATTATTTTATTATAATTATCTAGATAAATTTTTAGATATTTGTTCTCTCTAATTTTCTAAAATATTTTAAGGAGGTGAAGATGTTAGATTTTTTCTAGAAAAAACTCTAGAATTTGGATCAAGTATTATTGGGTTCAGCAAAAGAAGTGGTTGCCGCCAAGACCTAAGTGGTTGAAATGTAACATTGGTGTTTCTTGGTAGGAGGCAATGGAAATGTGTTGGTGGAGCGTGGGTCCTTAGGAACTAGTATGGACGTGTTATTATGCACAGTCGGAGGGAGTTTACTGAGGTTATGTGTAGGGACGATGCTCGAGAGTGTTATGTTTGCAGCAGAAGCTACTATCTTTTAAAATCTCTGTTGCGTCCAAAAGCTTGGCCTTCTTTTAAGTGGGCTTCTTCTCATGTTCGTCTTTTGTTAAAAAAGACTTATGTCTTGGTCTTTGGAAGTTGCAGGTACATTTTGTCTAATAGAGGAGCGTTTCTCATTGCCGAAAGTGTGACAAACTATCGGCTGTTTCAATTGTATGCGGCAGTAGGTCATCCCCAATGGCTTAACGATCTTTTTTTGGGTGAGAAAGTGTCTTCCTCTATTCAGCCTTTGCTGTAGTTTGTGGGTGTATGGCTTGGCTTCATTGGTTTTTGGTATAGTATGATGATGTTTGTAAATGTAATCATCTTAAGGGTCTTTTCTAAACCGTTGTAGAACTCGATCTTTCAGTATATATTCATAATGACAAAAAAAAAAAAAAAAAAACTTCTTATGTTAATGTTGATGATTTAGGATTGGTTCTTCTTAGTAATTGAAAACAAAGAATATGTGCACGCTAGATAGATAAAATCAGCTAATAAATCATTCATACATATTATTGGCCAAGAGAATACTTGAAAGTTCAAATTGAAATAGTTTAATTAGATCTATCTATATACTTATTGTTAATTCCTATAGTTTTGTTTTATAACATAAACTGAAAGTTGATATCAGTTTAGAAAGTACTTTTTATAAGAAAACAAAATTTAATAGTTTTTCTTAGTTTAAAAAGTAATAATCACTACATCAAAAACAAATTATGTAAGAATGGCTTTAGATCATTATATAAAAATATTTTGCATTTACTAAAAAATAGAATAAAAAGAAAACCGGCGTATGCTCGGATATTGGTCTAATATGACTAAAAGAAAAATACATGAAATATTATAGGCAGTTGCAAAGCATATTAAATAGATGGATCAATCCATTTTTACATTAACATGACTAAAAAAGATTGCATACAAAATATTATACTCTTTTGCAGAATGAATTATGTATATATATTAGTCCATTTTAACATTCCAAAATGCCTAAAATAGTTGTTTACATATTATACTGTCATATCATAAGACTTTCTAAACTAAGAACTAAAATAAAATTACAGATAATAAAAGATAATTTACATACAGTTAAAAAATTGAAAAACTAATATGTTTTAAAAAATAATTTCAAAAATAAATTTGTAAAGGAATCCCGAGAAAAAAAAATTGAAAACAAAAACAAAAAAATGAAATATTAGAAAAATATATTAAAAATTTAAGTTCTATAAGTGAACAAAATTCGTGTTTAGGGTTTACAAAATTTCACTAAAAACTTTGGTCATCTCAATGTTTTTGTAATAGTAAAATAAAAAATCTATTGTTATAATTCTGATAAAAAAATTATATTGGTTTGAAATATAGAATGAATTCTCAATGGTTAGTTCGGATATGGTAAAATAATGATTTTTATATAATAGTCAAATCCAGCTTTCAAGTTCTCAATTATATTTTTTGCAGAATGAATTATGTATATATATTAGTCCATATTTCAAACCAATTCTTAATTTTTGGAATTTTTTAATTTCATGATGTGGACATCCTCAATGCATTATGTAATATGTGATAAATTTTTGGTTCAATATACTAAATTTTGGAAATGGTTCAGTCTTCTAAATGTCTGTTTTCGAATGGTTCAATCTTCTGAATTTCGTATCAACCTTAAAAGACGACCTTAGAATATTGGAGAGATACAAGCAATCGGCCCAACAAGCCAGTGGTTTCCACTTTCCAAAAGTCAACTAACATTTAACTAAATAGGTCCTCTTACTCCATAATTATGGGCAATCTAAGCTCATGTGTTAGAAAAGAACTAAAGATATATCACATCTCCTAATTGAATAGTATATAATTATAAACCATAACAAAACGTAAAACGTAAACGTTAAATACAATCCGATTGGAAACAATTTGGTGCACAAAAGATATCATATTGAAACCACACAAAACTCGAGAGAAATCGAACATAGACACCAAGACTCGACAAAAGTCACAAACAGATAATACAAGGGACATTAATACTTTTGTTTATTTTTATTTACGCACGTCCCTAATCTCCTCTCGTTGAATAATAAGCAAATTTCTTATCAAATTTCTCTTTTACTGATAAGCAAAACCAGGAGAAGAAGACACCGAGAGGTTCTTGGGCACTTGTGAACTAACGGTCGACCCTTTCAATAAAGCCGAGTACCATAGAGCAGAGGTTTTTGGAGATCTTTTACGTTCCGGATCGGTGAAATTCACATGGTATAATCCATAGGTGTAATTGTAATTGAGAAACTCGTACAAATCCATAAACGACCATTGGAAGTAGCCTCTTGTATCTGACCCATTCCTGTATATGATAAATCTTTTGCCGTTTAGTATTCGGTTTACAAGGCAAGCCTTTTTCAAGGAGTATATTACACACCTCACTGAATTGAGCACGGCAGCGATATAAGCATGAAGGTATTCAACTCTTTCCACATCGTGAAGCGATGAATGGTGGTTGGTAGGTCGACCTGGTTGTGTGTATTTACATAGAAACTCTCAAGATCCATAATGTGTGGTAACTAAGTAAAGAACAAGTGAAAAATAGAGAGAAAAATACCGTTTTCAAGAATGTAGACCGGAGGATTGCCATAGTTTTGTTTTATGTATTCCAACACTCCTTCAAGACCCCATGGAAGCACTTCAAACTGTGGATAAACGCAAGGTTAAAAGAGTGTTAGGGTGACAAAACAAGGATCCTAAATTTGTAGTCGTTGGAAGCAAACCTCCTCCAATGAAGAATTCCCATAGGCTGTCCCAGAAAATGAAACAAAGAATCAGCGTTGGACTCAGGTATGGTAGATTGAAAAAACATAGAGGTCCTAGGAAAGAAAAGCATACGGTTCATTGTAGCATTAATGTCTGAAAAATAATCTCCTTGGCGGGAAATGGATAAGTGTTCGATGGACATTGCTGTGTAGTGTATGAGTCCCAAGAAGTCGAATGAGTCTTTAACGAGATCTGATTCTTCTTCGGAAAAACTTGGCAATCTTTTTCCAGCGATTCTCTTCATCACGTCAGGATAATCCCCAAACACAAGTGGGTTCAGAACCCTGGAATCCACAAATTAAAATGTTTTTGCCCTTTTTATCAGAGCACACACACGAATTTGAAAATAAAAGAATTCAAGATGATTGTGTTCAACAAACCAGCCTATATAAAAGTCTTTGACTCTCTGAGTTGCGATCTCATCCTCTACAGAGCTAGTAAATGGAACCATCCAGTATGCAAAACACGTTATACCTAGAGATCCATTCTGCTTATCCTATACCATCACACGAGAGACGAGAGGAAAAATTTAAAGAGAGTCAAATCCAGCATTCAAGAGATCAGGGATATAGATATTTGTGTAAGTTTACCTTATACTTTTGCTTGTACAATCTCGCGGTAGATGCGTGTGCAAGCAACATGTTATGGAGTGCAATATATGGCTCAGTTGAAGAGTTTCCTCTGGAGCAGTGTACCTTTGCATATGGAGGAGAACAATGCTTAGGAGGCATAAATCCCAAGTCATAACCTCCCCATGCTAACATATTAGGCTCATTAATTGTCGTCCAAAATTTCACTGAGCTACCAAATTCTTTGAAGCAAACATCTGCAAAAGCTGTGAAGTCATCGCTGCAATAGATTATCATATATATAAGATAGTACACACTTCACTTTTTTGATTATTATGAGAACAATATAATTGCAATTGAAATGGCTTTACATGATTTTGGGGTTTATCCATCCTCCGTATTCATCTTCAAGAGTCTGCGGGAGATCATTGTGATGCAACGTAACATGTGGTTCAATTCCTGTACTCGAGTTCATTCCAAACAGAGAAGCATAACAAAACAATCTCAAAATTCACCATCTCTAAAACACATGACACAATCCCGCTAGATGTGAAGCATAATTTTATTCTTACCATGTCTTGTGAGCTCATTTATGAGGTTTTTATAGAACCGTAACCCCTTTGGATTCACCGGGCCTCTTCCATCTGAAAGAACCAAACGAACAAAAACACGATTAACCCCAAATAAATTTTGAGTTCTAACAAAGTAAGAGCACCACCACCATCTATAGTCTCTTGTATTTGTATTTAGGGGTGTCAATTAGGACTAAAACCCGAAATCTAGTCTAGTTCATCCTGAAAATTAGTAGACTCAGGATTTGATATATAAACCTAAACAAAATCGGGTCTTTGGTGTCAAGCCCATTCAGTCTTATCAATTTTTGGCTTATACCTGACCAGACACGGGTTTAGTCTGAAAAATCCTGTAATTTATATTATATAGTCCATTTAAAGATTTTTTATTACATAATTACTTTGTTTAAAAATAATAATTTATATATTTTTCAATTAATCAAAAACTATAATTTTCTATATCTATGTCTCTCTATGAATATGAGGTGAAAATGAATAGATATCTCAAATCTACAGTATTTACTATATAGATTTAAAGTGTTTTTAAAATTTTATTATTATTTGATATTATAAATAGTTTGATCTTATTAAAGTCTAATTGTTGCTTTTAACTTTAATTGAATTTGATAAAATCATATGAATTATTGTTTAATTTTTGGCACGAGTGTTAATGACTATCTTTATCATTTAGATGATGTAAACTTAATTCTATTCATTTAGTTTACTGAACCGGTGTAGAATTTGAAGTTGTTAAAAAAATTGTTTAATTTAGATTTATTTTTAATAATTATTTTTGATTTCTATGTATTTTTTTCTTTATAAAAAATCTAAAAAACTTAAAACATTCTATAATCCAGTTAGAACCTGTTAATCAAGAAGGTATTTACTAGTAACTAATTAATAGTTACATAGTAAAATACAGTTACTTGAGTAATAAGGAAGTTAGTTTGTATTAGAAAGAAGAGGGAAAAAGAGGATAAAAGGCTAAAGGGATAAGGTGGCAGTACACTTTGTCTTATAGCGCTGTACCTTCACCCTTATCCTCTTGTTACCGTTATGAGCTGTAAAGGGGTGAGTCATACACGGTTTGTATAAGGCTGAATGAGGACGCAATAGTGGCTTTGTGTGTAACCCTTTCAGACCTAAAATGTGTTCTATATAAACTGTGTATCCCCCTTCATTGTAGATAACTTTTCTTCATCTAATACATTTTCACATTTTCCTATCATGAGAGTCGAATCCTTATCCTACAATCTTCTATAATTTACATGGTAGCAGAGCGGTTTTGTGATTCTTGAGTCTTAAATCTTGGTTTTCTTGTTCGATTCTTGTGTTTGAGAGAAGTTCTTGTGAGTTAATCCGTGGCAAAAGCTATTCTGGGTTGAAACTGGGTCTTATGAGTTAAGCTGAAGCATCAAACCGAGCTAAGAAGGTGAAGCAAGTCAGATCTGGAAAAGTAAAGGTTTGAGCTTTATCTCTCTCTCTCTGGTTGAAAGGTCTAGTCTAGAGGAATCAGTTTAAGGCAAAGGTTGTGGATAGATTAGTGTTGCGGTTTGGCTTGTGGTTTGAGTAAGGAAGGTTCGAAAAGTTGGATCTTTGGTCTTGGAAAGTGTTAGTTTTGGTGTTCAATAAGCGAAATACTTAAGCTTTGGTGATGGCTGCTCTTCAACAAGCTCCTATGCCTGTTACGGTGTATGATGGCAAGATGAATGACACCTTCAAAGACTTGAGATTTGCGGTAACTCTAAATGGGAACAACTTTCTGTTGTGGAAGCGAACAACTCTGAATGTGTTAGGAGGAAGGAAGCTCACAAAACACATTGAGTTCACCTATGAAGAGCTAAAGGCAATTGATAGAGGTCTGGATGAAGATACTTGGAAGCAGTATGATCTGAATGTGCTGACTGCTCTACACTGCTCACTAGAGGCGTCAATTCTAGAAGGCTATTCGTACTGTGAGACTGCTAAGGAGCTGTGGGATACTCTTACAAGTGTCTTCGGCAATGAGTCTAACTTGACTCGGGTCTATGGTATCAAGAAAGCTCTCGGAAATCTGAGCCAAGAAGAGAGTGACTTCAACACCCATTTCGGAAGGTATAGATCGTTGGTTGCTGAGTTGGATATGTTGAGACCCTTTACCACTGATGCTAAGACACTCAAGGAGAGAAGAGAGCAAGATCGTGTGTTTGGGTTGCTTCTGTCTCTGAATCAAGGCTATACTGATGTAATCCAGCACATCTTGAGAGAAGACAAGATTCCTACCCTAGAGCAAGTTTGTGCTAAGATACAAAAGGAGTATGGCAATCAGGAGCTGTTTGGCAACAAGAATGCAAGTCTACCTACGGCAAACAAGGTGGGAGTGGCAAAACATGGAGACAAGAAGACATGGGTTTGTGAGCATTGTGAGAAAAAGGGTCATCTCAAAGACAAATGCTGGATCCTACACCCTCATTTAAAGCCAGATAAGTTCAAGAAGGACAAGATGAAGGCGAATGTGGCAGAAGCAAGTGAAGGCTCCGAAAATGCTGAAAGAGCTATGGTGCAGTTCGGTCATCATGAGAAGGCTTTACAAGCTATACAAGACAAGAGCTCAGCTTCCACCTCTCAGGAGACCATTGTGATGAACAAAGCTGATCTAGAGAGCCTCCTTCAATCCATTGCATCTAAGTTACATCCAGGCGGTATATCTCTCTTATCTTCTAACTCTAGTGATTTAAACTCATTAGTATTAGACTCAGGAGCTTCTCACCATATGATTAGTAATCCTAAGTTGTTAGAGAACATTAAACCGGCTTTAGGGAATGTTAAGGTTGCAAATGGTCATAATGTGCCAATAGAAGGTATAGGTTATATTAATGTGTTTAACAAGAAGCTAAGTGCCTTTTATATGCCTAAGTTCACCTCTAATCTCCTTTCTGTAAAGAAAACTACTAAGGACTTAAACTGTTTAGCTATTTTTAGTCCTAATGATGTTAAGTTGCAGGATATTGAGAGTGGAAAAGTGTTTGGGCAAGGCAGCACCAAGGATGACTTATATGTGTTCCAAGACATCTCTTTAAATTCTGTTTCTAAGAATAATGTTTCTTCTATCTTTGCAAACTCTGTTAAGACATCTGTTGTTTTATGGCATGAAAGACTTGGTCACCCTCATTCTAGAGCCTTAAGTTTACTAATGCCTGGTTTTTCTTATGATTGTGCAAATTGTGAAGCATGCATATTAGGCAAACATTGCAAAGCTGTTTTTCCTAAGTCTAGTGCGATTTATGAAAAATGTTTTGATCTTGTGCATTCTGATGTGTGGTCTTCACCTTGTGCATCTAGAGATAACCATAAGTATTTTGTCACATTTATAGATGAGAAATCTAAGTATACTTGGGTAACCTTGATGCCTTCTAAGGATAGAGTTTATGATGCATTTATAAACTTTCAAAACTATGTGACTAACTACTTTGATGCAAAGATTAAGATTTTAAGAACAGATAATGGAGGTGAATATACAAGCAACAAGCTCAAAGAACACTTAGAGAAATGTGGAATTCTTCATCAAACCAGCTGCCCATATAACCCCCAACAAAATGGTGTTGTTGAGAGAAAGAATAGGCACCTAATGGAGGTGGCAAGGGCTATGCTATTTCAAAAACACATGCCTAAGAGGTTTTGGGGCGATGCAGTAATGACAGCTTGCTATCTCATCAACCGAACACCAACTCGTATCCTTGATGATAAATCTCCTTTCCAAATCCTAAATAACTCAAATCCTAGTATTGACCATTTGAGGGTGTTTGGTAGTCTGTGTTTTGTGTTTGTTCCAGGTGACTTAAGGAACAAGCTGGAGCCTAAGAGTAACAAGTGCGTATTCATTGGATACTCAACAACTCAGAAGGGCTACAAGTGCTTCGATCCAGTCACCAACCGGTACTATGTGTCAAGGGATGTCAAGTTTTTGGAAGACAAAGCCTACTTTGGGGAAAAGAGTTGGGAGAGTGTGAAGGACCTACCTAACTCAACCGCTGATAGAGCTTCAAGCCTCCGACGAATTCTGGAGCACTTAGGGAATGCAAGCTCCCCTCAGGCAGAAAAGGAAGCTCCATCATTTCCAAATGAGGATGTGCATGAAGTTAGAGAGGATGAGAACAATGCATCTCAGGATCTTTTGGATGATCACCAAGAAAGTGATAGAGGAGAGAAGTCTAGTGAAGAAGTGGCAGAGACGGGTCAGTCTAGTGAAGAAGTGGCAGAGGAGACGGGTCAGTCTAGTGAAGGAGAGGTCATTGAATCGGGTCAGTCTAGTGAAGGAGAGTTCATTGAATCTTCAAGCGATGACGATACCTATCAAGCTCCACAAGTTACACCAGATCCAGTCTACACTCGGGAGAATCAAAGAAAGAGTACAAGAGAGAAGAAATCCCCCTCAAAGTGGAAGAATACGAGAGTTTACTACAACTGCCAAGCTGTAGCTCATCCAATTCAAGCTACTTGTTCGATTGACCTTCTTCCGGAGGAGCATAAAGCTTTTATCAGCAAGCTGGATGTAGAACTCATCCCACAAAGCTATGAGGAAGCCAAGGAAAGTAAGGAATGGACTAATGCTGTTGATGATGAGGTTCAAGCTATGGTGAGGAATCAAACTTGGGTTGAAGAAGAACTACCAAAAGGAAAGAAGTGTGTTAGCTCAAAGTGGGTATTCACCATTAAGTACAAGAGTGATGGTGAAATCGAGAGATATAAGGCAAGGCTGGTTGCAAGAGGGTTTACCCAAACTTATGGGGATGACTATAGGGAAACATTTGCTCCAGTAGCTAAGCAACATACAGTGAAAGTGGTTCTCTCTTTAGCAGTTAATTTGGATTGGGAGTTGTGGCAAATGGATGTCAAGAATGCTTTCCTTCAGGGGGAGTTAGAAGAAGAAGTCTACATGTCACCTCCTCCGGGTTTAGAAGACATAGTGGCTCCGGGAAAGGTCTTAAGGCTTCGGAAAGCAATCTATGGGCTTAAACAATCTCCAAGAGCTTGGTATCACAAGTTAAGCTCTACACTACTGGCTAATGGCTTCAAGAGGTCACACTCTGATCACACTCTATTTACTAAGCAAGATATTCATGGCATAGTAGTAGTGTTGGTCTATGTGGATGATTTGATTATTTCAGGGAGTAACAAAGAGGGTATTCAAGCCATTAAGTCCTCTTTGCACTCAGCCTTTGATATTAAAGATTTGGGTGTTTTGAAGTATTTCTTAGGGATTGAAGTGTGTAGATCCAAGGAGGGACTATTTCTCTCACAAAGGAAATATGCACTTGATCTTCTAAAGCTTACAGGAAAACTTGGAGCTAAACCCGTGGACACACCACTAGAGCAAGGATACAAGGTCAATCGAAAGGGGGAGAAGGATGATACTCCATATCATTGCCCGAAACAGTACCGAAGACTCGTGGGTAAGCTCATATACTTAACATATACTCGGCCTGATCTTTCTTTTGCTGTGAATCAGGTGGCTCAACACATGCAAGTACCTACGGTATACCATTGGAGCCTGGTGGAAAGGATTCTGAGATATATCAAAGGGAGTCCTGGCAAAGGCATTTGGATGGGAAGAAATTCAAGCACGGAAATAGTGGGATACTGTGATGCAGATTACAATGGAGATCGCAACACAAGGCAGTCTACAACCGGCTTTTGCACCTTCATTGGTGGAAATCTTGTGACTTGGAAGACAAAGAAGCAGAAGGTGGTGTCTTGTTCCAGTGCTGAAGCAGAGTATAGGGCGATGAAGAAGCTCACAAACGAGCTAACTTGGCTAAAGGCTCTACTTAAGGACTTCGGGATAGAGCAGAAGACGCCAATCACCTTCCATTGCGACAACCAAGCTGCCATCCATATAGCCACTAATCCAGTGTTTCACGAGAGGACCAAGCACATAGAGACGGATTGCCACAAGACAAGAGAGAAGATCGAAGATGGTACAATTCTCCCTTGTTTTACTAAGAGTTCGGACCAATTGGCCGACATTTTTACCAAGGCAGCAAGTAACCAAGTTTGCCAATTTATCCATGGTAAGCTTGGTCTTGTAGACCTAACACATCCTTGAGAGAGACTCTCCAACTTGTAGGGATAATACTCTTTTTCCCTAAGCTTGGTTTTGTCCCACGTGGTTTTCCAAGCTTAGGTTTTTAATGAGGTTATCCTTGCAAGTGCCAAGTTTATACACAATCAGTATTGTAGTATAAACTTGAGGGGGAGTGTTAATCAAGAAGGTATTTACTAGTAACTAATTAATAGTTACATAGTAAAATACAGTTACTTGAGTAATAAGGAAGTTAGTTTGTATTAGAAAGAAGAGGGAAAAAGAGGATAAAAGGCTAAAGGGATAAGGTGGCAGTACACTTTGTCTTATAGCGCTGTACCTTCACCCTTATCCTCTTGTTACCGTTATGAGCTGTAAAGGGGTGAGTCATACACGGTTTGTATAAGGCTGAATGAGGACGCAATAGTGGCTTTGTGTGTAACCCTTTCAGACCTAAAATGTGTTCTATATAAACTGTGTATCCCCCTTCATTGTAGATAACTTTTCTTTATCTAATACATTTTCACATTTTCCTATCATGAGAGTCGAATCCTTATCCTACAATCTTCTATAATTTACAGAACCGAACTTTAAAATATAAACCTAATAATTTTTCTGGACCGAGCTGGACAAACCTAATTGACATACCTAATTGTATTATATTTAATTATTATAATATAAAAATAATATAAAATTAGGAAAAAGGGTGAGAAATATATAAAAAAAATGTATCTAAATTTTTTATTTAAAATCTAATTTATATTATTAAATAATATTAATATAATATTTGTATCGATAGAGATACTCTAACACACATGCACAGATCCACGTACTTGGTATAAGCCGCGGCCACGAGATGGATAGTCGAAATGCACGTAAACCCATGTCATACATCAGCCTTACGTCTTCCTACAGCATTATCATTGTTCATTGTTCATTGTTCATAGCTGATTATTACCATGAGCACCAAACAAATCACAGAGGAGTATGAGTCCATTGTGACCAAACCTTATATTTATGATACCCATCACAAGCTACATCTCCGGTAGGTCCAGCATCTACATTGTTAGGAAGACTGATTGTGAGTAAACCCTTAAAGACTGATTGCTACTTTATAAATCAAAACTCAATGTTGCTTTGTGATGAGCTTACGAGAGTGAACGTATGTATCCCAGATGCTAGGCTTCCTTCCGTCTTCATCAACAGCTCCTTCCCACTTTTGACATATCAAACCAATTTTTGGTTTTGATTTTAATTTTTTATTTTTTTTTGTAAAAGACAATTTACAATTTGAGTAAGAAAAAAAAAAGAAAAAAAGAAAGAGATTAGAAAACCTGAAAAGCAGAAAAAGCAGATCCGAATACAAATCCCTCCGGGAAATCGTTCCTGCTGTAAACGTCGTTGCATGTCCCGGAAAAAGCGAGACTCAAAAGAATGGTAATCAGAAACAAAATATGTTCCATTTCTCTTCTTAGCCTCTCTTATAGCTCCAAAGGTCTTGAAAGGGAGTCTCCGATCACCCCAAAACCTACCCGCCCGAGAAACTACACAGCGGAGAAGAAAAGAATGATCGGCATGGATATCTCCGGTAAATTCTACCGTTTGCATGTTTTTTTCATTGAATCCCAATTCCCAAACCTCGGAATCGATATCGTTGCACAAATAAGTTTAACATTATATTGAATGATTCAATTTAAAAGAATCCAAAAGAATTAAAAAATAATTAATTTAAAATATTTTTTTTGTTTTATGGAATTTTGACGAATTTTATTACAATGACAACAAAAAAATAATAAAAATTGGTTCTTTACAATTTTTATTGTAATTTTATTAAATTTCTTTCAAATTAAAACTAAAGTACACTAACGTTCAATATAATTAAAAATTTAATAAATTAAATAATACTAGAATCTGGAGTAGTTTAGATGAATGAGTACAAATTTTCAATCCATTAACATATGAATTTTTTTTGAAGTACAAAATTGAATAACAATAGAGTTTTATTTTAAAAAAAAATTCTTTCAAATTTTTTTTTTTTACAATTTGATATATCCCCCTAAGCTGTATTTGTTTTTGAAGAAAGTTCAATTATTGTTTTCAAAAAAAAACAAAAAAGTTCAAATATGGCAAAATATAATAAAAGTAGTTACGTGCGAGAAAAGAAAGTACCTTATTTATAGAACATCACCAAGTATGATCACGAACTGTATTTTCTTTCCCCTGCATCCATTCTTAGGCACTACCACATATATATGAATTTAAGCATTCTGAACGACCTTGTATATTTGCTGAATCTGTTAGGTTTCATTAAATTATTTTGTCCTATTTGTTTTGTTTTCTTTTTCTTGTCGGTGTATTATGAATAGTCTCCATATGGAAGATAGTTAAAACCAGTCAAGCAAGCTGTCATGTACCAAGCTATGTGACCCACCCAATATCTGTGGTTCTAAGTTTTTCCATTTCTCGCGCTTGATAAATAAGACTTTTTTTAAAAAAAAAACTTGAACTTTCAACTTTTAGAAAAAAATATGTTCCAAAAAGAAAATGGAACAACTTTTTTTTTTATTAAATTTTCTTTGATGATTATAAATGAGTAATTCTACTTTTTATATATAACTAATTAGTGATTCATGCTACGCACAACTATATTAATTATTTTTATATATTTCTGTATATTATATTTATTGTGTCGTAAAAAATTTATGATAGATTTTCATTTCTTACATATATCTATTTTAGATTTTTCATATTTTTCGAATTTTTAGTTAGTGATCCGCATTACACGCGGATTTAATAATTGTTTTATGTGTTTTTATTGTATTTGTTAAATCATTATTCGAGAACAAATTTTGGAATACTTACCTGGAGTAATTTGATAAGTCGACGGATTTGTTGGGGACATGTCAACCTGAAATGTACGGGATGAGTAAACGTAACAAAACAGAAAGGAGTTGTTCTTCCGATTACTCTTCTAACGCTTAAGTCAGAACAAGACACAGGACTGGTCGAGAAAGAATATCGGAAGTATGATAAGGAATAAGGTGATTTATCAACTCTTAATGATCTCGATAAAGCTTTGGGCGAGTGTTGGTGTTTTATGAAGCCTGATGATGAAATTATTTCTTTAGAATTTCTCCTGCTCTTACTGTTGGCATAAAGAAAGTATTTATAAAAGATACCTGGTTGCATATCGATTAGCGGGCCGGGCCCCGAGTCTCTCGGGTTTGGTTTCACTATTATTTGCTAAATTGTTCTTTGATCCTTTTCTCGAACTGGTCGGACCTCCTCATGCGTGCTACTAAAGAAGGAGCTGTTGCCCTGCTCTGCCTCTCCCTGGCAACCATGATTAAGGTCCTACTTTAGTAGGTACATAGCATTTAATGTTCTTTGGATTCTCATGGTGTCTTCTCCCCATGCGTTGGGTTCGATGGACCACTGGCGTAATTTGTGGCTTAACAGTTACTCCTGACTTTCAAATCTGGCTCTTGTGGGGTTCAAAAGTAAATCTTACTCATCTTTTCCTTTGGTGGAGTTCCCTAAAATATTGAGGAATTACAGCATGAACATATCGGTTACATTTCAGGCGCTCACAGGAACAATCCCTGATGGAGGGGGGGGGGGGGTGGGTAGTTAGCTGGGAGTGGTATCAGAAGGTTGTCTAGAAAGACATCCTGGAGAAAGTTCCTTGGAGGGCAAGGTCCATAAAGCAATTTCGGAGAATTATTCCTAGAGAAACTTACCGAAGGGCAAGCCCCATAAAACGATTTCGGAGGGCGATCCCAAAGGGTGAGCCCCGAAAGACGATCCTGGAGGATTATTCCTGGAGGAAGTTCTCTGGAGGACGAATCCCGAAAGGCGATCCCGAAGGATTATTCCTGCATAAAGTTCCCCGGAGGACGTTTGGTTGGGGTCCAAGCCCCATCGTGACGAAGGCATTGTGGTGGGTCTTATAAAATGACTGTTTGCATGTCGTAGTGGACAAGGTGTCGAAGGAATATAATCATTTTACGTTCAGATCCATAGATAGTTTAACGGATTCCCACAATGGCACATGATTTTTGCACCTTTTGGGTGCTCGAGTCCCACAAATGGAATTCTCTAGCTTTGCGCTTCATTTTCAACTCTTTTGTCTTTTCTCATATCGACCATCTTTCTTGTGGATTTTTTCTACACAGTACTTGACTTCTTCATTTTCCTTTTGGTAATGTTCTCTTTTCTTCCACATCGATTTATGGATATGGTCGTGCATAAATTCCCGGGAGGACCGTTGTCTCATTCTTCTTTAGATCTGGAATCCGAACATCTCCATCTCGGATGAGCCGCCACACCTCTTCTCTAGGGGCTTCTGTGTGTTGGGCCGGTGGAGTAAACTCTGGCGAGATAGTCCTCTGTGGCTCTCTGAGGAAGCACGGCTCCTTGATCCATTGTAATACTCTTGTTTTGGTCCCTTGTCTTGAAGTCGGTCGCATCCATCATTGAGCTCTCCTTTATGCTCGTGTTTAGCTCTTGCACGTCCTCCATCGTTTAGTTTGGTTTGATCAGCATTGATGTTCATCACCCTGTCTCTTTGCTGTTCTTCGGACCATGGCGCCAGGATGATCATATCGTCAGGATCACACTCCCATTGTATCTGTCGATGGGCGTAGTTGAGAATGTTCTCCATGGTGCTACAGTCGTTCTTCGTGAGTTTCTTGTAAAGACCTGACCCTTTCATACGCCCTTTTCAGAAAGCATGCACCACCACGACTTTCTGACATGGGGATATTTCTACCTAGACAGCGTTGAATCTGGTTACGTGCAACTGGAGTGGTTCATCGTTCCCCTGACATATATCAAACAGATGTCCTATGCCTCGCGCCAGCTTCCTGCTGCTTGTGAACTGCTAGATTTTTTTCTACACAGTACTTGACTTCTTCATTTTCCTTTTCGTAAGTTTCTCTTTTCTTCCACATCGATTTATGGATATGGTCGTGCATAAATTCCCGGGAGGACCGGTGTCTCATTCTTCATCAGATCTGGAACCCGAACATCTCCATCTCGGATGAGCCGCCACACCTCTTCTCTAGGGGCTTCTGTGTGTTGGGCCGGTGGAGTAAACTCCGGCGAGATGGTCCTCTGTGGCTCTCTGAGGAAGCACAGCTCCTTGGTCCATTGTAATACTCTTGTTTTGGTCCCTTGCCTTGAAGTCAGTCGCATCCATCATTGAGCTCTCCTTTATGCTCGTGTTTAGCTCTTGCACGTCCTCCATCGTTTAGTTTGGTTTGATCATCATTGATGTTCATCACCCTGTCTCTTTGCTGTTCTTCGGACCATGGCGCCAGGATGATCATATCGTCAGGATCACACTCCCATTGTATCTGTCGATGGGCGTAGTTGAGAACGTTCTCCATGGTGCTACAGTCGTTCTTCGCGAGTTTCTTGTAAAGACTTGACCCTTTCAGATGCCCTTTTCGGAAAGCATGCACCACCACGACTTTCTGACATGGGGATATTTCTACCTTGACAACGTTGAATCTGGTTACGTGCGACTGGAGCGGTTCATCGTTCTCCTGACATATGTCAAACAGATGTCCTATGCCTCGCGCCGACTTCCTACTGCTTGTGAACTGCTGCATGAAGACTTCTCGGAAAGTATCACTCCAAAGCCTTTGCAGAAACAGGCGTGGGTTCCAGATACCTGAACTTCTTTGGCACCTCGGTATTTGATATGTCCACGGAAAAGGGCGAGTCGTTGTACAACTCATTCGTGACTTGGATTACGCGCGGGTATAGACCTGGTATCTGGGATACCTACGTGTCGATGTTGACCATATGCTCAACCCTCTTCTTGACAATGAGGCGGTCCAACGGCTGGTCCGACGACCTGGTTTACAGTATTATCCCCATTTTGCCTTACTCCAGCCCCGTTGTGGTGGGCAGAATGATCGGCTTCCGCTGTTCCTTTAATGGTTGGAGGGGTGGTTTTATCCGGGGCCTCATGGTAGTGTGGCACTGGAGTGTGGTGTGAATCTGCCAGACGAGTTACTCCAACTGCCGGTTTCTTTTGATGGCTCACACGAGGTTCGCTTGGAGCTGGCATGCATCCTCGTAGTCTAACATCTATTGGAAGGTTGTAGCTTGGGCCACTGGGGGGACGAGGCTGTCGAATCCTTGGGGACGTTTGCCATGGGCAGTCGCTCAGGATGGGCTTAGCGAGGCACTTCCATCGTTTAATATTTGATATGTTCTCCGCACCCCCCCCCCCCCCCCCCCCCCCCCCCCCCCCCCCCCCCCCCCCCCCCCCGGTTCTAGCGCTAACTGTTTGGGAGAAAATTTTCAGGATGCCTACATGGAGTGATCTGATAGGCGGACGGACCTGTGGAGGAGATTTGAACTCTGGGGGGACGGGTCAACCTGAAATGTACATAGCAAAACGTAGCGAAATAGAAAGAGGTTGCCGTTCCGATTATTTTCCAACACTAAAGTCAGAACAAAACACGGGACTGGTCGGGAAGGTATAGGAATATCGGAAAAACGATAAGGAATGAGGTGCTTTATCAACTCCGAATGAGCTCGATAAAGTTTTGAAAGAGTGTAGGTGTTTTATAAAGCTAGATGATGAAAGTGTCTCTCTAGAATTTTTCCTCCTCTTATTGTTGGCATGAAGAAGATATTTATGGACGATACCTGGTTGCAGGTTGATTAGAGGGCCGGGGCCCGAGTCTCTTGGGTCGGGATCTTGCTATTATCTGCTAGGTCGTCATTTGATCATGTTCTCAAACTGATAGGGCCTCCTCATGCGTGCTGCTAAAAAAAGAGTTGTAGACCTGCTCTGCCTCTCTCTAACTGCCATCATTGTGGCCTTACTTTGGTAGATATAAAGCATTCATTGCACGTATCTACCAAAGTAAGGCCTGAGAATTTTGAGCCCAATAATTTGAATACTATGCTCCCCACACGTTGAGCTTGATGGGTTGCTGGCGTTATTTGTGCCCCAACAATCATAGCTCTACACATTTTGTAATTTGTTTCCTTTTCTCATTGTATCCATATTGAATTTCTTGTTTTATCTCAAATTTGATCAAATATTATCTGTTCGAGATTATTTTGTTTATTACAACAGATACGAAAAAACATTCCAATTACCGATTGAGAACTAATTTAAAAAAACATATATAATTTTTTTAAAAAAATTTACTTTCCAGAATTTTCCTAAAATATTTGTTTTGAAGTTGACTTTCATCCAAATTATTTAAAGTTTGTGAATAT